ACAGCCGTGCATCAATCAAAACTGGGACTAATGAAATTCAGTAATAACGGCAATCGCATTTAACAGTAAAGGCTTATATTTGAATGTTCTTTTCATTTATAAAGAATTATAAGCGTGTATATGATGTGATTTAGCCAATGCACATTTGCTCAAAAGCCTGCATGTCTTTTTCATCAAAGCAGCAACTTAGAATGCCTAATTTTGGTTTGACTGCTTGTGTTACATGATAAAATAAATAATCTTGCTTACCTGATGTAATAGATTTAATGCGAGTGCGGTTCGGGTCGCGACTCGCGGTCTTTATGTCAAACGGTTCTGGTCTGGTACAGAATTAAATTAGTGCTGCTGTCAGATAATGAGTCGTGTGTTCTGTTAAGTACTGCTGGTGCACGTTTACCAAACAGGACCCGTGCAGGCTTTAAAGTGCTTTGCGTCTCTCCGTCAGATAACCCCATGTCCGTGATGCGCCATTACAGGAAGGCTATTTCCCTAAACCTCCATGCAGCTCGCATATTTTTCCGCCAAGGGGTGAGAACGTAATGAATACGAAAACGATTATTTATTTTTGATAATTATTATTTTATTTCAGTTAGTTTTTCAATACCTGTTCTGTTGTTAGTTTCGTTTCGTTTTAGTTTTTCAAATATTTGGACGTTTTTATTTTATTTCAGTTTACGAAATAGTTTTTTCATCAATCGTTTTAGTCTTAGCTTTCGTTTACGAAAATAACCTTGTGACTTGCCCATGTTTACAATGTGTGCGCGAGTGTGTGTGTGCACGAGTGTGTGTGTGTGTGTGTGTCACCTGTGCGATCTCCTCAGTTTTCCTGAGTTTCTCTTCCCAGGTGACGGTCATCTCCTGAACGAGTTTCTCAGACTCCTGGAGTTTCTCCTGCAGCTCAGGAGACTTCAGAGACTGACCGACACAACATAACAAACATTATCATTAACAGCTCCCCATTTTAGAATCAGTGATAAACTACTACAGTTTTAATTAATATTTCGAATTAGTTTTTATTTTTATAGTTCCCGTATTGATTTTAATATTAATAAATTTGATTTTAATATATCTATATGGCTTTTATTTAATTTAAATCTTCTATTTCAGTTTTAGTTTTAATTATTTTAGTACTTAAACTAAACAAAAATGAGAAGTAATGCCTTGGCAACTAGCTGGAAAAAATACACAGGCTCTAATCTAAAACCTAGTGAAGCTGCCTACATAGTGAGGATTTTAAGGGATCAAAGACATGTAGCATGATGCCTTCCTAGGTATATATTTTTGGGATAAATTCAAATGCCGTTTCACTTGTATCCTTAACATACAAGCAATACCAGAACATATGGCGACAAGTTCAATGCAAAAGTTAGTGGAGAATGTGGGAGAAATTTCTATTATAAATAGACATTTAATTTGTACAAAATAACAACAAAAAATGAATAGAATTTAAATTTTTGTTTGTGTTGTATAATTTTATGCTTATCAGAGCAGGGGTTTTCAAGAGAATCGTAGGGAGTCAATGGAAAAGTTTAGAAAAAGAGAGCAAAAAATGTAAAACTGAATAAATAATTAATAAAATGTAACAAAAATTTAAGATGTAAAAAAAAAAGATTAAAAAACATATTTAAAACAAATATTTAAAGCATTTAAAAATAACATTTAAATAAATAAAAATGCAACTAACTACGGTACAGTACACAGTGTTTTATTTTACAGACAGTTTTTATTTTAAAATTATTTATTTTAATTTTGACATTTTTTATGATTTAATTTAAGCATAGTAAATGTTTTATCTTGATTGTTTTTATTTTTAAATTATTTCTTTATTTTAATTAGACTTTAATGATTTAATTAATTTTAATTGTTATTTTATTTATGGTTAACTAAAACTAAACTAAATAAAAATAAGATTACAACAAATAAAGAATAAAAATTTGATTAAAAAAAAAAGACATTTAAATAAATAAATAATGCAGCTAGCAGTATAGTACTGTAGTGAATAGAAAAACATGCAATAGAAACTATATTTTCTAAGTAATATTTTACACTATTATATTATTAATTTTTCACAATATAAATTGGCCTTTATACATGAAAATATTCAGATTAGGATGGGGGGATGGTCATTGCATGAGGATGATCATATCTGGGGAATCTAAAAGATTGAAAACCCCTGTATTAGAGAAACATGGTGTGATGTTTGTTCAGTCGCAGAATCTGGTTCAGATAATCTCCCATAATTCCCTGCTCACCTCAGCCTGCGAGAGCTGCACCTTCAGCTTCTCCACTTCCTCCCGCAGCTCTCTGATGATGCGGGCGTTGGGATCCTCATTCACCACAGCGTGGTTGACGATTCTCTTGGCTCGGTCGGCGTAGCGCAGCGTCGAGAGTGTCTCCTCGTAGTTGTCAGCGGCCGGGCTGATGGTGGCGATCATTGCCGTCTTACTGTTGCCACCCAGATTGTCCTGTAACAGCAGAGGAAAAGAGTTTGATTCCCCTAGACATTTAAACAGTGTTTAATGAACTCTGATGATCATCCTCACCTTCAGCAGCCACGTCAGCACTGAGTCTCTGTATGGCACAAATTTGCTCTTGCCTTTTCCTGCAGACTGATCAGCGAGAGCAGAAATTACACAGCCCAGCGTTGTCAGAGACCTGGAGACATACAAAAAACACCACCATCAGAAAATACTACACAAACATCATAAAACACCACACAAATAACATGAAACACTACACAAACATCATAAAACACCACAGAAACATCAGAAAACGCACAAACAACATAAAACACCACAGAATCAGTAAACACCACACAAACAACATAAAACACACAAACATCAGTAAACACCACAGAAACATCAGTAAACACCACACAAACATTATAAAACACCACACAAACAACATAAATCACCACAGAAACATCAGTAAACACTGCACACACAACATAAAACACCACAGAAATATCAGTAAACACCACACAAACATTATAAAACACCACACAAACAACATAAAACCACAGAAATATTATAAAACACCACAGAAACATTATAAAACACCACACACACAACATAAAACACCACAGAAACATCAGTAAACACCACAGAAACATCAGTAAACACCCCAGAAACATTATAAAACACCACACAAACATTATAAAACACCACACAAACAACATAAAACACCACACAAACATCAGTAAACACCACACAAACAACATAAAACACCACAGAAACATTATAAAACACCACACAAACAACCACTTCCTCCCGCAGCTCTCTGATGATGCGGGCGTTGGGATCCTCATTCACCACAGCGTGGTTGACGATTCTCTTGGCTCGGTCGGCGTAGCGCAGCGTCGAGAGTGTCTCCTCGTAGTTGTCAGCGGCCGGGCTGATGGTGGCGATCATTGCCGTCTTACTGTTGCCACCCAGATTGTCCTGTAACAGCAGAGGAAAAGAGTTTGATTCCCCTAGACATTTAAACAGTGTTTAATGAACTCTGATGATCATCCTCACCTTCAGCAGCCACGTCAGCACTGAGTCTCTGTATGGCACAAATTTGCTCTTGCCTTTTCCTGCAGACTGATCAGCGAGAGCAGAAATTACACAGCCCAGCGTCGTCAGAGACCTGGAGACATACAAAAAACACCACCATCAGAAAATACTACACAAACATCATAAAACACCACACAAATAACATGAAACACTACACAAACATCATAAAACACCACAGAAACATCAGAAAACGCACAAACAACATAAAACACCACAGAACATCAGTAAACACCACACAAACAACATAAAACACCACAGAAACATCAGTAAACACCACACAAACATTATAAAACACCACACAAACAACATAAATCACCACAGAAACATCAGTAAACACTGCACACACAACATAAAACACCACAGAAATATCAGTAAACACCACACAAACATTATAAAACACTACACAAACAACATAAAACACCACACAAACATCAGTAAACACCACACAAACAACATAAAACACCACAGAAACATTATAAAACACCACAGAAACATTATAAAACACCACACAAACAACATAAAACACCACCGAAACATCAGTAACACCACACAAACATTATAAAACACCACAGAAACAACATAAAACACCACACAAACATTATAAAACACCACACAAACAACATAAAACACCACACAAACATTATAAAACAACACACAAACAACATAAAACACCACACAAACATCAGTAAACACTACACAAACAACATAAAACACCACACAAACAACATAAAACATCACACAAACATTATAAAACACCACACAAACAACATAAAACACCACAGAAACATCAGTAAACACCACACAAACAACATAAAACACACAAACATCAGTAAACACCACAGAAACATCAGTAAACACCACACAAACAACATAAAGCACCACTCAAACAACATAAAACACCACAGAAACATCAGTAAACACCACACAAACAACATAAAACACCCCCAAACATTATAAAACACCACACAAACATCATAAAACACAGCAGACAACATAAAACACCACATAAACAACATAAAACACCACACACACAACATAAAACACCACAAAAACAGAAAATACAAGAGAAACAACATAAAACACCACACAAACAACATAAAACACGACAGAAACATCAGAAAACACCACAGAAACAACATAAAACACCACACACACAACATAAAACACAACAGAAACATCATAAAACAACATGAACACCACAGAAACAACATAATACACCACAGAAATGACATAAAACACTAGGGATGCACCGATACCACTTTTTCCAGTACTCGGACGATACCGATACTTTTATTTGTGGTACTTGCCGATACCAAGTACCGATACTGGTATTTTCATTGTATTTGTACATTTTTTAAATATTGGGTACAGAAACCAAAAGAATATGTATAATGTTAGTTGGTTAACTTAATTTATCAAATGTGTAATCACGCGTTTTGCTGTAATAATGCAGGGAACCACTCGTTATAAATCTTTCAGAAATATAAGAAGCGTTTTTTCTCACCTGAAACGTGCTGTGATTTATATTCCAAAGCGACATATATAATGCAGAAACACTCATGAAGCAAGCAAAACATGCGCAACTCGCGCACATATTTGTATTGGTGCAGATTCATGAGAGGGACAAGTAGAGTACAGCCTAGCGCATTTCACACAGGCTGATAGTTTCACTTTCGCCATAAAGTCGTGTATGCTTAAGGTTGAAAATAAATGTTGTTTATAGTGAATGCCCCTATAAATGTTGTTTTATATTTATGATTTAGTTTTAATCCAAATAATGCGTGTGCTAAGTGAGCGAACATCAAAGATAACGCAACAGAAGTGCGCTCTCTCTCTCTACAGGAGCTCAGTATCGGGCCCAATACCGATACCATTATTGGTATCGGCGCATCCCTATAAAACACTACACTAACATTTAATTTGACATGTTTTATTATTTAATTACTTTTAAGCAAGTGATTGATTGATTGATTGATTGATTTTTTATGATTTAATTAATCATTAGTTTGGGAAACCCTATATGAGAGGAGCCATCATTATACATCATGCAGTTCATTCATATAACATCTATTACAGTCTGCAGATTTCCTCTACTTATTCATGCAGGTTTGTAAAGATCCCTTTATTCATTTATTTAATCTTTTAGCTGGTCCTAGTGGCTGTTTTTATACTGTTTAGACTAATTTCCCAAATTGCATATAACAACAACCAACATATTGTTAGTTTTTCGACTATTATAAGCAAGTGATTCATTTCCTTTGAATATAGCGACCGGCTGCAGTCGACTTACTTGTTGATGTTGCTGCCCTCCTTCAGTCTCTCTCCAGCGGCTCCAGTCTTAGAAGCACGTTCACTGCCGGCCAGATCAACCAGACTGATCTTACTCACTTTCTCACCAGAATTCTGCGTTCACAATCACACACACAAACAAACACAGACATAAAAGAAAATATTACAATCAACATGACCAGAGTCAAGGGCGTAGGTTTGATATTGTCATTGGTGGGGACATAACAGCAGACAACAGACATTTAATTGTTTGATCAAAATTATTGCTAGGGACAATTTAGTAGAGGCTGATATTGATAGGGACATGTCAAAGCATTCCTACTAAATTTCTACGCCCTTGACCAGAGTCCAAAATGAACACTTGTCATAAATAATCCATGAATAAAACTTGAACATCCATGTATATATTTCAGAAAAAGTTTAGAATTATATATACTAAATATTTATATTTATATATCATATAAATATATATATAAATAAATATATATATATATACACACACACACACACACACACACACACATATATATATATATATATATATATATGCAAGTAAATATTTTTACAAATATACATGCATGTGTGTGTATTTATAGATACATAATAAATTTACAGTTCACACACATACATTATGTAAACAAAAACTTTTTTAAATTCGATAAATCGTGATTAATCGTTTGACAGCACTCTCTCTCTCTATATATATATATATTCATTGATTTTAAGATAAAATGTAATGTAAAAAATAAAAAAAACATTGAAAATGTAAAGTATAAAACTAAAAACTAAAAAGAAAACATTTAATACATTTTTAAAAATGTAATAATATTTAATAATTAAATTTAAATAAATAAATACATTTAAAGCCATAAAAATAAGGAATGAAGTATATCCAAAATTGATAAATAAAGTTATTCTTGATGTTTTTGTGATGGAAGAGAAACACATATTGACTAATATATGTGAAAGACTCAGTGACTTATGCTGCATGTCACAAATAAACAAAACATTTTAATAATTCTATTGTCATTAGTGACAAATACTGAAATGAAAAACAATGGAAGTAGAGCAGCACTGACCCCAGACTGCAGGTCATACAGCGTCTGCGTGACGATGACGCTGAAGACGGCGTGTGATCGGCTGCTCTCCTCGTTCATGTTAGTGGCGGCTACTGTGCGTGATTTATTCCCCTCCGACATCAGAGACTCAATGTCCTGCAGGAGGCGCAGATGTGAGAGAACATGCAACTAAACTACATGCTGGACTCACAGCAAACAACAAAGTAATAGTTCACTGTAAGCGGAGACAGTGAGAGAAAATGAGCCAATCTGCACAGCAAACACATTTCTAATCAGAACATAGTTTGGTTCGTAATTTCACGTTTTTTTTTTTTTTTTTGATCAGGCCCGGCTGCTCTCCGTTGCCCATCATGGAGAAGGATTTCCCCGAGCCTGCCGGACAAACACAAGACATTTAACACAGGTGATGTGTCTCAGCCAGCAGACGTGTCCTGAACCAGGGCAGGAAGGCAGAGGAAACAGACAATGTGCTGCGTCTGCGGAGGAAAGACTGTGATTGAAAACACAGACGCTTCCTGTTCATGTACGGAGAAATACATCAGATTCATATTTGTGACCCTGGACCACAAAACCAGTCATAAGGGTCAATTTTTCGAAATTATGATTTTACGATTACTTTTTTTTTTTACTTGTCTAGGAAGAATTATAATTGAGATTAACAACAAAACACATCTGCACAAATCTCACCAATGAGAATTTGAGGGGACAAATGTGCATTAATTGTCATAAAAAAGGCAAAAAATCGTAATGTTTGGATGTATTTTTTTTCATGCAAAATATAACTTCATGTTCTTGCGGTGAAACGTGATCGGACGTGTTCTGGTGAGACTCATGTCTGCTGTAAATCCTGGTGTGCTTTTCTAGTGTGAACTCGATATGTTAGTGTGCTTGTTATCGTCTTGCAGGTCTGTTTAGAGTAATTACCGGCGCTCTTATGACAAAGAGTGAGCATCTATTGAGGTCTTTTCAGTCAAACGGATGTCCCTGACACAAAAGAGCAGACTATAACCGCACCTGTCTGTCCGTAAGCAAAGATGCAGGCGTTGTATCCTTGAAAGGCGTTTTCCAGTATTCCCTCCCCGAGGCTCTTGAAGACGACCTCCTGACCTGCAGCACAAACACATGCCATCATCACAAACATCGTCTCTCTCTGATTGCTGTACGGTACGAGAAAGAATCATTCACAACGGATTTGATTATTCACAACAATAAGGTGTCATTTGTTAACACTAATTAATGTATTAACTAACATAAACGAACAATGAACAATACATTTATTACAGTATTTATTAATATTTGTTAATGTTAGTTAATAAAAATACAGTCGTTCATTGTTTGTTCATGTTAGTTCACAGTGCATTAACTAATGTTAACAAACACAACTTGTGATTTTAATAATGCATTAGTAAATGCTGAAATTAATATGAACTAAGATTAATAAATGCCATTCTTACTTCATGTTAACTAACGTAGTTAACTAATGTTAACTTATGAACCTTATTGTAAAGTGTTACCATAATATTCATTGATATATTTACTAATTAATTTTTTTTTTTTTTTTTTTTCCATTTTAATTTTAGTAATTCTGTTAAGTGCTTTCGGCATTTTTACCTATTTTTGTTTTTTAATATTTCTGTTCATCTATTTTTAAAATATTTTATAGCTTGTATTTTTTAATAAATGTATTTTTATTTCTGTTTTAGTAATTTTAGTAATGTACTTAACTTTTTTCCAGTTAGCAGGATTATTAAAGTAACTAAAAATAAAACCATAAAAAAAAATTACAATATTAATATAAAAATAAAATATTAATATTAAATAAAATATTTACTTTTTTGTTCAGATAGTTGCCAAGGCAACATTTCTCATTTTCATCTAATTTGGCTTGATGTACTGAAATAACTAAAAATAAAATTAAAATAATAAAAAACTATATAGACATTAAGATAAAAACAAACTAATAAAAATGACAAAAATTAATATTACAAGAACAACTTGCATGAAAAACTTAAAACTGTTGCACTGGCAACGAACTGAAATGAAATAAGTTTAAACTGAAGTACTTAAATAACTAAAACTAAAATAATAATAATGAAAATGAAATTAAACTGAAATATACATTTTTTTTTTTTTAAATCACAAAAGCACTTAAAATGAAAACTAATTCAAATTTTTGTTTACATTTCTCATTTAATATTTATTTCACAATTTTTAATAATATATTTTAACAAAAAACATTTTTTTAGCTTTAGTTAAGAATAAAAACCCGGAGCAGAAGTGAATATTCCACTCAGTTTTCTGCATTATTTCTGAGAAACCTGTTGTTGTTGTCACAAATCATTAACCCTGTTTGAGCAACGAGTAATTGGGCCATAAGCAATTACTTTTTCCATTCACTTAATTTATCACAGAGAATTCATAACGTTCATCAGTAGTTGCTAGGCAGACCAGGGTTATTATTGTTAACTAAACATCCATATTCACATATTAACTCCAATAAACAAAAATATAAGCCACCTATCAACAAGACAAAAAAACATATTAAATATATTGCACATGCAAGTAAGGTACTGTCCACATAATCTAATATATATACAGTCAGGTCCATATATATTTGGACACTCACACAATTTTCATAATTTCGGCTCTGTGTGCCACCAGAATAGAATTCAAATGAAACAATTGAGATGAAATTGAAGTGCAGACTTTAAGCTTTAATTCAAAGGGGTTGATAAAAAAATATATAACATCAAAATGCTTAAGAATTACAACCATTTTTATACACACTCCCCCCATCTTCAGGGGCTCAAATGTAATTGGACAAATAAATAAAATGTTCATTTTTAATATTTCGTTGAGAATCCTTTGCAGGCAATGACTGCCTTAAGTCTGGAGCTCATGGACATCAGCAGAGACTGGGTTTCTTCTTTGTGATGCTTTGCCAGACTTCAGTTGTTGTGTGTTTGTGGCTCTTTCTGCTTTAGTGTTGTCTTCAGCGAGTGAAATGCAGCTCAATCGGGTTGGGATCACTTGACTTGGCCATTGCAGAATATTCCACTTTTTACCTTCAAAAACTCCTGGGTTGCTTTTGCTGTATGTTTTGAGTCATCGTTCATCTGTACTATGAAGCGCCGCCCAATCAGCTTTGCTGCATTTGACTGAATCTGGGCAGAGAGTATATCTCTACACACTTCAGTGCTTCTGTCTTCTGTCTCATCTTCACTAAACACCAGTAACCCAGAGCCACTGAAGCCATGCACGTCATGCATCACACTGCTCCATGTTTCACAGATGATGCTGTGTGCTTTGGATCATGAGCTGTTCCAAGCCTTCTCCAGACACTTTTCTTCCCGTCATTCTGGTGCAGGTTGATCTTAACTTCAGCTGTCCAAAGCATGCTTTTCCAGAAGTTTTTAGATGTTTTTTGGCAAAGTCTAATCTGGCCTTGTTTGCAGCTTGTGGCGAAGCCTCTGTATTTGCTCTGGTGAAGTCTTCTCTTGATTGTAGACTTTGACAGAGATGGGTTTTTCTTCACCATGGAGAGGATCCTCCGATCATCAGCACTGTTGTCCTCCGTGGACGTCCAGATCTTATGTTGCTGAGCTCACCAGTGCGTGCTTTTTCTCTCAGAATGTACCAAACTGTTAATTTGGCCGCTCCTGATGTTCCTGCTATCTCTCTGAATCAGAATCAGAATCAGAATGAGCTTTATTGCCAGGTATGTTTCACAGCAACAGCTTCCAAACGCAAACGACACACTTAGAATCAACTCCAGAACTTTTACCTGCTTAATTGATGCAGAAATAACGAAAGAATGGCCCACATCTGTCCACGAAACAGCTTTTGAGTCAACTGTTCAATTACTTCTGGTCCCTTGAAAAAGGGGAGGTACATATTAAAGAGCTGTAATTCCTTAACCTTTCCTCCAATTTCGATGAGAATACTCTCAAATTAAAGCTCAGAGTTCACTTTAAGCCCATATTCATAACTGTAACTTGAATGTTAAGATGTCCGCATCAAAAGAAATGTACAAAAGTGATTTTATGTCAATAGAAAGCACATTAAATGCAAGTAAAGTGTCTACTTTTAAGGTTTCAAATAAGTTTTTGGAGAATAAAATGTCAAAATTTGGTTTTTTGGGAGGGGGGGGGACAACAACAATTTAAAGCAGTATTACACTTATTGTTTTTACGCTTAAACACTTTTTCGTCTTTGACCCATATATATATATATATATAAATGTGGAATTTCCCAATGCATCCATCATTAACTTTACTGAATGTTTTAATGAGTTTGTACGCTTCCGTACAGGCCTGTATAAACCTTATAACTGCACATCATCCTTCCTAAAAGCCTTTAATGACCGCTCTGTCTACACGAGTCAATATAAGACTCATAAAACACCTTTATATCCGTTAGACTGTAAGAATGACACCAGCACAAACTGTCCGTGTGAGAACATGTTCACTAGTCAACCGTTCGTCAGCCGGCTTTATTCTGACAGACTGAACCGATAGAAGAACAGCATCAGTGCGCTGCATTACAGTGTGATGGAAAAACACACAGAAATCACAAAAACTGCTGAAATCATCACTTACATCTGATTAGCTGGTGCTAATACGTTTGCAGCATTACATCTTTCAAAGTTTTGTTTGAGGTTTGTTTGAGTTTTTATATATATATATAAATTATGGAAGTATTTTTAATATTTTTAATTAGCTTTTCATATTTTTAGTTTTCATTTTAATTTTTGTTTACATTTTTGTAATTTTATTTTATTTTTATTTATTTGTTTTTAAATATTTCTATTTAGCTTTAACTGATTTTTATTTCAGATTTAGTTTTAGTAATTTTGTTATGTGCTGTTATTGTCATTAGTTTTTTTTTTACATTAAACTACTTTATTTTTATTTAAGTTTTAGTAGATTTGTTGTTTATTTTAATTGTTTTAATATTTCTATTTAGCTTTAATTCTTTTATTTTAGTTTTAGTAATTTTGTTGTGAGCTTTTGTTATTTTGATTGTTTATTTTATATTTCTACTTAGCTTTAATATATTTTTATTTCACTTTTAGTAATTTTAGCATGTCAACTTAAACTTCTTTTATTTCCGCCAGTTGACAACACAACTATTTAAAGTTTTTCACATAATATTAATATTGTGTTTAAATCTTTTTATTAAGGTATTCAATTAAACAATCCAATAGTTATTGGTACTATAATATTAATATTGTAAGAATAACTATTTAATGAGGATCGGAAAAGCATTTTTTAAAGCTCTAATAAGATTTAATAATAATAATAATTTTATGTCAAATTTAGTTTTTCAGCTTAAATTCAATTAACACATTTTAATGAACAGATTTTTTTCCACTTTTAAAAAGATGTAAACTGAGGATTGCTAACTATTTGCAATAGTTTTAGTTTTTTAGTTTTCATTTTAATTTTAGTTCAAGTTTTAGTAATTTTGTTATGTGCATTTATCATTTTTTTTTATTTGTTTTCGGGTTTTTAAAATTTTTTTATATTGATAGAATTTCCCGTTTTGTGTGCGATATGCATCAGATGGTCAGTGCATGCTGTCTGAGACTTTAGACTTCCGCAGTAAACCTGAACTAGTCTGGACCAGCATGAGAAACCTGGCAGATCTGTTCTCAGATCCCACCCTTGGGATCGGCTCATCCGTGTGTCCATGTCATTTCCAGGGCTTTCCATATTACAATATAATCCATAATCATGGCTGAGGTGTGAGTGTTAAAGCCTGACTCACCGGCATACTTCGGGATGTTGGACTCGTCCATGGACCAGAAGCAGTGGTCAAAGGCGAACACCTGCAGACACACAAACACACGCATGTTAGCACACGCCATCCAGCCTCACACGGACAAAAGACGACTTTAAGTGTTTAACAGCACACACACACACACACACACACACT